GCAGCTTTAATCACACATGGGTCATACTAATACCCAAGGTGGACAATGTTGACATGAGACAGCTTAGACCGATTAGCTAATGCCAGTTTGTGTATAAGATTATAACTAAAATCATGTCTAAGATTAGTACAATACTTACCTCAGATCGTTTTGGAAGGGCAAAATGCTTTTATTCGTGAATGTCACATTGTGGAGAACGCGCTTCTCGGGCATGAGTTAATGCACTATTTAAAAATATAAATGGGTGACAATAAAGGGTACAGGCTTTGAAGGTTGATAGAGTCGAATGGCCGTTTCTACTTGCGATTTTGGAAAAATTGGGCTTTAACTCGACCTGGCGTGGCTGGATACAGGAATGCCTCCGCTCAGCCTAATTTTTTTGGTGCTTATGAATGGCACACCTTCAGGATTTCCCCTAGGGATCCTCAGATTTCACATTTGTTTTTTTGCAGATGATTCCTATTTATTCATCCGAGGTTCTCTACAAGAGTGTGAGAACTTGATAGAGGTTTTAAATGAGTATGAGGAGATCAGTGGCCAAAAGGTGAACCTGGAAAATCGGTGATCTGCTTCAGCAAAAATGTTTCCCTTCCCGATCAGGGTTTCCTCGCCGAAAATTTGGGGGTTGGGGCGGTGGGGGTCCATGACAAGTATTTGGGGTTACCCATGTTGATTGCGCAATAAAAAATGGCTACATTATATTTCTTGGAGGAGAAACTGTTAAGTCGGCTTCAAGGTTGGAAGTAGAGGAATCTCTAGTCGGAAGCAAAAGAGATCTTGATTAAATCAGCCGCGTTAGTTTTGCCACTGCAAGTAATGTCTTGTTTCAAGTTTCCACTATCCCTATGTCGCTTCTTGGATAGTCATGTGGCCAGATTCTTGTGGGGTGTTGAACGAGGCCACTCTCGGATAAGGTGGATGTCCTAGCTTAACATGTGTACCAGTAAGCATGACGGTGGCATGGGTTTTCGTCGGTTTGAGCACTTCAATCAGGCACTCTTGACTAAGATTGGGTGGCAAATCCTGTATAAGCCACGGTCGCTACTGGCCCAGATTTATAAGGGAAATATTTCCCAACAGGGGAGTTCCTCATAGCTACCGCCAGGTCACGACCATCTTGGGGATGACAAAGTATTCTCTATGGCCGTTAATTGTTAGTCCAAGACCTCCGATGGAAAATTGGTAATGGTCGGTCTGTTTTCCTCCTATCCTCAAATTGGTTTTCGCATCTGCACCCGACTGGGCCTCTTTATAACCCTCAGGTCCTTCCGGAGGGGGTGATCCTTAGGTAGCCACGGTAATTTTCCAAGGGGAAGGTAAGTGGTGTGATCGAAGTCTTAGCCAATGGTTTCCCTCATTCGTCTGTTGGGTCATCAAAGCTATTATTCTCCATCGTGAGGATGTGGAGGATAGACTAATTTCACAGTTAAGTCGGCATATCATATGGCGGTTTTGATGGATATACAGGGTGGCCGGTGGAGGTCTGTGGCTAGTTGAATAGATAGGTTGAGTTGGATCCTCTTAGGGAATGCTAATCTTCCACCAAAGCTGTAAGTGTTTTGTGGAAAATTTGTCACCATCTCCTTCCAACAACAGAAGCTTTAATTGAAAATAAAGTTCATGTGCTTCTGAGGTGCCCGGTGTGCGAGGCTGAACTGGAAACGATGGAGCATTTGTTTTTTTGAATTTCCAGTGGCTAGGGATCTTTGGGATCATTATGGACTTGGTTATCTTGGCCAAGGGTTGCCACACGACACTTTCCGCTTTTCCTTAAAAAGTTGATGTCCATTGTACATCAACCCCAGTTGTTTATGGTAGTTGAGGCAAGTCTTTGGCGTATCTGGCGGTCTTGTAAGTGGGTTGTATTTGAGGGCAAACAATTTGGGATGCAAGCCTTAATGAGGCAGTTTAATTAGCAATAACAAGAGCGGGCCAGTTTGCCGATTGATCAGAGTCAGCACTTACCCATCCCTCAACCCAGGGCAGGGGATGCCAGTTACCCATGCTCCATCACCTGTATGTGGGATGGGGCGACTAAAAGTGGGTCTCACTCGGCCGGGGGAATAGTTATTATTGGCCCAGCAGGAAGGATCCTTCCGGATAGTGATGATTCGATGGTGGCTGAATTGCTGGTTCTTCGGGAGGTTGTACTTTGGTGTCTAGAACTGGAGTTTATGGAGACAATCTTTCTAGGCGACGCCCAAGTAATCATTGATAAAATCAATTGCAGGGACACTATGGATAATCGCATAGGGGTCATCCTCGAGGAGGTGTTAGCGCTCTATTCGCTCTCTTCTAATAATAAGATGAATACAACATTTTATGCATTGTGCTGCAACATATATTTAGGTCGTCAAATCCTACGTTGTCATAATCGGATCAAACGTTGAACCGAAAAAGTTAGTGGTTTAGAATTCAGTGGTTAACTGTTACAAAACCATTGGTTAACCGTTTATAGAACCGTTCATGATATATAACATACAAGACTTGTATAATATACTAATTTAAGAACGAAGAAATCATTGACCATAAACAATTTCAAATTCACATTATTGCAAAAATATCTAATAATCATTCAAACCGTCTCGCGAAAGAAATCATAATTTTTTTAATTCAAGTTGAAATTTTATGGTGCCAATCGGTAATGGACCACGTAAAGTCAACAAAAAAGTTGGAAAATGAGAAGAGTTAGCAAAACTAAAATTAATAATTATGGTTTGATGCTCGTAGTTTAAGTTAGAGTATTTTTATACAAAAAATTACGGTTATAATAGTGAACCAGTTGATCAGTTGAACCGTGATGGTTCATTTGATTTTATGTTGAACCGTGAAAAATCATTTGGTTCACTAATAATCGTCCAAACAATGGACTGAATCGCTATCGTAAGTAGTTTGACGATTCTACTATTCCAGTCGTTAATCTTTCGATTCTGGGATGGTGAGGTTACTGTAAAATCCGGATATCATATGGTGGTTGAGTTAAGACGGAGAAACGAGTTAAAGGCAAAGGCTATATATAGCTCATGTGTGGGATCGCAACCTTTGGAAAAGGATTTGTGGCACTCTGGCGCGTGATAGGATCTCACATGTCGTAGAACTCGAGCTTCTCTATGAACAAACTAAGGAATGCGATAAAGAATACCTAATTTACTACTAATATTAGACTTTATTATTCAAATGCATAAAGTGAAGAGCAAATGTACATATTTATATAACTAGTCCTACAAACTCCTTTCCCCCAAAGACAAGGAAACACAATCCCAAACCTACTAGTAAACAATTACTTCCCAAACAAGAGATAATAAATAATAATCCTCGACCCAAACTAATACAAATAACCAAATAATAACTGAATATCGCGAATGATAATTAATACGAAAGACAAATAATAATACTAATAGTAATCTCATGTGGCCAGTGGTGCTATAATGCACCAAAACCCCCCTCTTTAAACAACCTTGTCCCCGAGGTTGCCTTCTGCTTCCGCTCCTTCGCCATCTTCCTCCTTCAAATCTCCAATCATGAAGAAGATGTTTGCATTTGCAAATCGATGCCCATATGTGAACCTCCCGTTGCAATCATAACACAATCTGTCGATGTCTAGCAGCTTCTTCTAATGACACGTTGCAAATGATGCGTCGTGGTGGAGGTGGTGGAGCTCGTCCCGGTGCTGGCCCAGCAGGTGGAGCAATTGGTGGCAGCGCCAAAGCCGCGTTGGTGGTGGTCAAGCCAGCTCGCAACACGCTCCTCGTTGCTCCCTTCTCTAGTCGCAGCACTTCTTTGCGTATCTTAACCAGTCGATAAGCCTCTCCAGTTGTTTGGGGATTGAAATCTCGAATGTAGGCGGATATCTTTGGCTTCAATCCACCCATGTATGACCCTATAATTGCAACCTTGATCCAACCGCGGCAACGATTCAACAACTTCTCAAAGGTATGTTGATATTCGTCAATGGATCTGGTTTGATGAATTTTGGACAACGCCTCATGTCCAGACGACTACTCCGATGATCAATACATTTTCCATAACTTGACGCATAGGCTGCTCAAAGTCATTATCACCCCATGCTTTGCGAACTCTTCCTTCAACCACATGATCCACTGGTTCACGTCGCCATCCATATGGTAAGTCGCTAGTGATACTTTTTGATCCTCTGGAATGCACTGGTAGCGAAAACATTTCTCAATGCGCGAGACCCATCCCGATGGATCCTCTTTACCCGTGAATTTTGGAAACTCGAGCGGAGCGATTCGTGCCCGGAACATGGCTCAACCCAGCTGTAACACCTTAGGTGAATCCCACACGACAAAGCACGAGAGAGATCCATGGTTCATAAGTAAGAAACCGACCTTAACTGACAATACGCGTTTTGGGATGAAACAGAGGAGTTCTTGTGAGAACTCTGAAGTTAAACGTGCTCAGTGTGGAGTACAACAAGGATGAGTGACCTTATGGGAAGTCACCCTGAATTTCACCCCAAGTCGAAATCTATGTGGGTGTAGAGGCCCAAAGCGGCAGTATCTTGTCGGGAAAAGGTTCGGGATGTTACACCAGCTAGGGGTGGGCATTCAGTCGGTTCGGTTTCGACCAAACCGAAATTATGAATACCGGGTCCCCGAATTCTCCCAAACCTCAAACCGAATTCGAACCAAATTATAATTCGGTTTGGTCGGTTTAAACCGAATTATAATTCGGTTCGGTTAGGTTTTTCACACAAAACCGAATTTGTGAAGTTACTTGTATCTTCTCACTTTTTAATTATTTTTTATCCCTAATATAAACAATAAATATGTAATTATATGCATCATCAATGATAAAATCAAACTTTTCAACACATAAGTCATAAAACATTTCAAATATTTAAGTCTTAAAACAACTACAAAGATAAAAAATCCACCATTTGGAGCTTGCAATTATAGTATTTCGGTTTTTCGGTCCGAAATTCGGTTCGGTTGAGAGAACCCTGATTTCCGAACTATCCATATTTTCCTTCCGAATTCCGAACTGAATAGCATTAATTCGGTTTTGGTTCGGTTTAATTCGGTTTCGTTCGGTTCGGGTTTACCGAACCGGTTGCCCACCCCTAACACCAGCTTCTCGTAGTGTCCCGCATGGACCATGGGTTGGACGAACCCAATTGGTCCGCCCGAGTATGGTTCAATGGGTCCATTGGATTTGACTAAGCCCATCGATGGTTCGCCTTGTCCTAGACACTAGCCTTGACCCGACCCAACCTCCTCTTGCTCTTGCCACGACCCACGAACTTCCCGGCCCAAACGATCCATGTACCCCTGGCCCGCTGTAGTTGAGACTCGTCCTGCCAAAATGGAAGCTTGGCTCGTTCGCCCTTGAGCCCGTCGGCCCGCTGAACCCACTTGCTCCTCCGACCAACGACTATGTGATGACTGGTCTGCCAGCTCCCATTTTCGGGCCAGTTGGACCTTCTTCAGCTCGGCCTTCCTCATTCTCTCCCGCCCCAACTCCGTAAAGCACAGTCCCGATGAGCCCGCCGATCAGACCCGCGTTCCACCCTGCACGACGATCCGTTCCTCCTCACTGGGAATGGTGACGTTTCCCCAGCCCTGTCCGATGGGGATTCCTTGACCAGCTCCTTCCGCGGGCATTGCCTCCCGTCGCGCATCCTCCTCTTGACTCATCTTGCAAATCAAGGCGCCTTACGACTTCTTCTTCTTCTTAGCGTCATGCTCCAATTCTTGGGTGAGAGAGACTCCAAATATCCGACGACTCCCTTCATCTTCTCTCCTAGCAAAAGCTGATCGGTGGCGCGGCCACCTTTTCACAGTGACGTGCTCCGACACCCTTGATGACTCCGCCGCCTTCTTTCCCAAAGGTAGATCTCAAAGAATGACCAAGATAGAGCTAAACGTCGTTAGCTAGGCGATTATGATCAACGCGCTTGACATCGATTTCCTCCTGTAAACGATCATGCCCGTCCTGGAACTTCTTATGGCCGCGTTGGAGTTGTCCTACGTCGACGTGCAAGTGCTCCAAAGTAGCTTCGTGTTCGCGGTTGAGGACGTCTTGGGTTTCAATCCTAGACGAGATCGCCTGTTGGTGGCCGACAAGGGCTTGGATTTGTTTCCCTAGCTCATCGTCACCGCCGACTTCTAGTGATGATGGCGTCGTTGGTGGCTTGCGGGGCGTCATCGTCCCCTGGCTTGATTCTCTCGTAAACATGCTCTGATACCAATTGGCGCGTGATAGGATCTCACGTGTTGTAGAACTCGAGGTTCTCTACTAACGAACTAAGAAATGCGATAAAGAAGAACTAATTTACTACTAATACTTACTAAACAAGACATAATAAATAATAATTCTAGACCCAATCTAATACGAATAACCAAATATCCTGAATGATAATTAATACGAAAGACAAATAATAATACTAATAATAATCCCATGTGGGCGCCCGACGGTGCTATAATGCACCACACTCCAATACCTCCCAATCTGCGGTACTTCATATGACAACTAGTGTGTGGTGTCTTACCAACTGGTGCAGGTTGCTTGAGTGGCGAGACCTATATCAGACCGTGTTGACGAGGATTGTGGCCTGTTTGGCGTGCTCCGAATTGAGTCATTTTTTCTTTATTTTATGCAGTTCGTTGTTCCTGCTTTGTTCTACCAGTTTCTTTCGTAGGTTGCGGAGTGGGATGCCATTGTTGACAACCAGCGACATCATCTTCCTCCCCCAGGGGGCCCAGTCCAACGAACAGGGAGGCTGTGCCACTTGGGGAGCTAGTTATGTTTGTGATGGGGCCACAGTCAGGGGCGGACCCACCTTTTACCAAGGTGTGTCACCCGACACACCTTGGTTCGAAATTTTTGTGAAGAACCCACAAATTTTCGGTGTAAAAAATACGAATATGGGACCTCCGACACACCTCCAATAATTGAAATCAACACACCTTATTACATTACAAAAAAATTGTCATAATGTTATTAAAATATGCAAATAGAGGAGTTATCAGGCTTCAAATTAGGTAGTTAATTAGTTGGTTGCACAAGAGTACACAATTAACTGACTACTTAGTACATAATGAGTATTTAGAAAGATAGCTATCACCTTAGAGACAACATCGATAATTTGAATGTGAATTAAATTTGATTAATAAGGTGGTTGAGTAAAATAAGTAGATAGCGAATTTCAGGCTGTCTTTCTTCATAGCTTCTTCCATAGATTTTTCTTTAAGTTAATTTTCAACTTGCTTTCTAGTTTAGTTATTTCTTTCCACGTTGAGGCCTGTAGGCACCCTTCAATTATCGGGATCGAGCCAACGACATCATCATGCTCATTCAAATTTCCACGTTGACACATGTGGCCACCCTTCTAGATTCTCATACCAAATTTCTCATCTTAAATTAGTATTGATTTTTACCTCTTGCAACTGCAAGGCTACAAAATGACATTTTCCATATATGAGTTTAATCAAGAACAATCTTTGGTATAAGTTGAGTGATCAGTTTATGAATAATTGTTTCATTTTGTACATAAAAAATATTTGATTTGCAACCTAATGGACAAATGCAATTAAGAAATCTTTAAGAATATGAAAAATCATCGTGGTTCACTGTAAGAAATAATAAAATTGGTGAAATTTATGAATAAAATTTTTCTGTTAATTTTTAATTTTATTTTATTGGTCGACACACCTATCTCAAAATCCTGGGTCCGCCACTGGCCACAGTGAGTGGATTCCATGGAGCTGGAGGATGGGTTTTGCAGGATCCGATAGACATGGTGGTGGTGGCATCAGCATCGTTATATGTTGGGATTTCAGACCCGTCTCTAGTGGAGCTGTTGGCCTTCCGTGATGCAGTACGATGGTGCCTGGCACGAGATTACATTCAGTCGTCTTTGCTGGCGATGCCCAAGTTATAATTAGAAAGATCCAAGAGGGTTAGGTCGACGATGTTCTGGGTGGCACAGTCTTGGAAGATATTCGTTCCAGGTGATTAACATTCATTTTACTGGTCAACGATGTAAGAGGATTGCCCATTTAGTGGCAAAAAAAGCCATTTCGATATTCACTTCTTCAATAGTGTTTGATTTTTTTTTTCTTGACTGTTTTCAGCTGTATAACACTTTGTATATGACTAATTTCTCGGTAATGCAAGTGGTGTTTTGGTAAAAAAAAAATTGTTTCATCTTGACTAAAATTTCAATTACTGCCAACAAAATAAAATTTCAATTTCAGTAACTGTCATTTTTGGCAGAAAATGATTTCATTTTTCTCCATGGAAACTTCGCAAAAGGGAAGGATTGCTCATTTGGTGGCAAAAAAAGCCATTTCGATATTCACTTCTTCAGTAGTGTTTGATTTTTTTTTCTTGACTGTTTTCAGCTGTATAACACTTTGTATCTGACTGTTTTCTCGGTAATGCAAGTGGTATTTTGAATTTTTTTTTTGTTTCATCTCGACTAAAATTTCAATTACTGCCAACAAAATAAAATTTTAATTTCAGTTACTGTCATTTTTGGCAGAAAATGATTTCATTTACTTTCTTTCATTTTTCTCCATGGAAACTTCGTAAAAGGGAAGGAAACAAATTTCGGGAAGAAGGGTTCTTTCGGCCTGGATTTAGGAAAGAGTTTAATTACAATGCCAACTCAATTCTTTCTTCTTTACTGGAATTACGATTCTTAATTTCAGTAAATCCTATAAGAAATTACAGTTCTTTTTTTTTTCATTAATGGGGGAGATAATTCATAAATCATAATTCAGATTTGTTGCGACCTGCGAGAAAAGAAAGGGTGCTTTAATCGGAGATTAACAATAAGAAAATCAATACCCAACTAAAAATAGTAAAAATAAATATTTAATTTTCAATCGAATTTCCAAGTCCAAGTTTTAGGCAGAAATCAAGGGGCACTTCTTCTCCCCAGAATCCGCTCCTGCTGCCCATCACTCTCCCGCCCTTAGTTCTAATAATAATCATATAAATATATTAATTACAATTAACGTGTCCTGAATTACTATTACTACTAATTCCTTATTTTCATTACTAACATTTTCTGTTTTTAAATTAAACAGATTATTATTAATTGAAAAAAACAGCTCACAGGATTTAATGTTAAATGCTATTTAATTCGTTTATTTTCCTGCCGAAAAATGCAATCGGGACGACAGACAGAAATCCCAACGCGGGTTCGATCCAACGGCTAAGAACCGTTCACGTCCTTTTTCGGAAAAAACCATAAAACAAAAAGAAACTCTCACCTATATAAAATATTAAAAAAAGAAATCTCCCTCCTCGGCGAAAATTAAATTAAATTAAAATTCTTTTTTTCTCCTTCTCTCTCTTTCTAGCTTTCTCGAAAAGAAAAATTTGAAAGAAAAAGAAAAAAAGGAGAGATGGAACCAGACGATACCCCTCACCACCACCATCACCACCACCACCACCACCACTCTCTCACTCCATCTTACTACTCCACCTCAGCACAACCTACCGGCAACAATCCCAACGCCGGCGGCGGGCCTGCTTCCTCATCCGCCGGTGCAATTACTCATTCTCCGACCAATGGTCTCCTGCCTCCCCCGCCAAACAGCAGCGGTGGCTCCGACTCGGCCTCCGCTCATCACATGGTCTACCCTCACTCCGTAGGCCCCTCCTCGGCCGCAGTGTCTCAGGCGCCGGTAGATCCGGTCAGGAGGAAGAGGGGCAGGCCGAGGAAGTACGGGACTCCCGAGCAAGCTTTGGCGGCCAAGAGGACGGCGGCGGCTTCCTCTGCTTCCAGTGCTAGGGAGAAGAGGGAGAGCGGCGGTTCTGCTTCGTATCCTGGCTTCTCGAAGAAGTCCCACCACCACTTGGGTACTCCCGGTTCGTTTCTTTTTTCCTCCCCCATCCAATTTTACCATTTCTTTATTATCCTATCCTCCTCCTCATCTGTATTTTATTATTAATTACTGTTTATTCCGTTTCGCTTTCTCTCAATTTGGTTATATCGTATTCAATTGGCTTTCCCTTTTGGCATTGGATTCATTCGGCTTTCTCTCTGAGTATAATCTGAATCTCTCTCTGTTCGTTTGTTCAACTTGCGCAAGTTTTGCTCTGATTCGATTGATTTTGGTCGGTGTTTCGTTTTTTGTTTGATGGGGGAGTTTTCTTTGTTCTCTTTTGTTGTACGTCTGTTCTGGGATTGCCTATCCAGGTTGATGGGGTTCTAATTTGGCAGACTATTCATTTTTCCTTTGTGGCTTTCCGTTTCTTGGATCCCGGATTCCTGGTTTTGAGCATTGTTCTCTGTAAATGAAAAATATGTAGCAAAGAAATCGTCAGGATCGGTTTGCAAACTGGTTTCTGTTGGCATATGTAACGGTTTTGTCTCTCTCTCTATGTTCTTGAAAGCCTTTTTCCCTTCGTACTGGAATTAAGCATGGTTCTTTATTTGCTTATCTGTGCATTCGTGGTGATCTTCCAGCATGGTTCTTTATTTGCATATCTTTGGCTCATCGGATTTTTTCTCGAGTTCCTTACCCTGCAAAACTGTAAAAAAAAAAAAAAAAGAAGCTCTCTAAGCTAAGCAAGTATCACTAAAGTGTTTGATACGGCGGGAGGTCGGATAGTCTTTGGCTCATCTAACCTTGAATGATTGAAGTTAATGTCTTGAATGATTCACACTGACCTTTTTTTTGGTGAAAATCGTAATGACCTTCTTTGCGTGACTACAATTTTTACAAGCCAATAAAATCCCAAATTAGGAGAATCGTTTGTGCTGGATTGAAACGGTTATTTAGAAAGTTCGATCTTTTTTTACCCCTTAAGTGAAATTTAGCCTCAGAATAGCTAGTGTGCTGTCACACATTCTTCTTTGTACCCTGTAGCCGACACTACATTACTTTGCGAGTGCGTTGACTTGGCCATCTAGTATATCATATTCGATCTTTCCGCATTACGTCCCTTACACTTGGGTTCCTTACACTCAAAAACTGAATTTCTGCATTCTATGGCGAAGAAAACCTGGCAAAGTTAATAGTTGAGTATCTTTACAACATGTAAATGTAGAACTTGATTTGTATCATTTGTGTCACGTAAAGAAAGAACATAATTAAGAGACTTGACTTGCTAGTTGATGGTTGCAGCAGTCTTTGCGGGGCCTTGTGATTGGAGTCGTAGATATCATAATTGGGAGGGTAGGGCTATCCTCTAGACCTCGCGGGATGATGTATCTTGACGTAGTCTGAATAGCTTCCTTTGCAATTTTGAATTTAGGTAGAATCTGGGGTCTGGATCCCTGAATGGCTAGTATTTCTGCATCTCCTGACTGGATAACGTATGTGCCATGGAATATTTGTTGAGGTCTCTTATAAGGAGCTGTTGCTGATGTCCTACTTTTGGATTCACGCAGGTAACACGGGAGTCGGTTTTACTCCACATATAATTTCTGTAGCTGCTGGCGAGGTATGCAAGCACTCTAGTGATAATGTTTTTCTTGGCCTGTACATGTCCCCAACATCTTCCACCTTTGAAATCCATTTCTGACGTAGTATATAATATGGATTTGAAATTGGGCTGACTCATATTTCTGGTAATACAGCCATCATCAACTTTCCTTCCTTAATTAGGTGATTTTCTCATAAGAATAATTACTACCATGCACGTTGCATGTCAGACGAGGCTTATTTTCCAGGACAGTGGACTTGATTCATACATGTATAATAATCAAAGAGTAGTATATGGCAATGTTCTGTGTGGTGTACTTTTGGCCAGCCAGTGATGAAATCTAATATTTATTCGGTCTTAGAAAAGTATGTTCATCCTATCTATCTATTCTACAGGATGTTGCCCTCAGAATTAACATGTTCATGCAACAAAGTAAGAGTGAGACGTGCATTTTGTCTGCATCTGGTGTAATCGCTAGTGCATCGATTCGCCAGCCAGCGACACAAGGAGGCAACATCACTTATCAGGTAGCTCCTTGTGGTCCTTTTAGTTCTTGCCAGAACTTCACTAGTCCATGTCCATCTGTATGTGAGCTTAATGTGCGTCAGTGCGTCAATATGAGAGTTAGAATGAGGCCATGGCAAATAAAACTATATCTCTGATATCTGCTGGTTATGTTGATTTCTAGTTGGATTTTGAAATAAAGCCATTTCCTTAAAAGCTTTTGCTTACTATAAAATAGTATTACAGGAGAAAAGTAATAGTCTTTAGTAGCGATTGGGCTTCAATTGTCTCCCACAATCTCTGTCGGTTCACTGGTTAGTATAGGCTATAGCACATGGCACTTTGACTTTTAGCAGAACAACGCTTGTTCAAAGCATTCCATTTCATGAAATAGTTCTTACCTTTTGGGTTGTTAAACATGTCATTAGATACCAATTTCACTGCCCAGTATAGATTCAGGTTATAACATTTACCCTGGTGGAATTGTGAATTTATCTTGTCTGGCATCCAAATCCCTGGTCCTTAACTATCATTCACATAACCACATTTGATAGTGTCAGGAAAAAAGAAAAGAAGTGGTCCTGGAATCATAGTTCCTTTTGTTCGTCAATTTTTCTATCATAGAATGTCTGGAGAATGAAAAAATCAAAAAGACGGTGATGCAGTACCACCCAAAATTGGGGTCAAACTTTATTTCCTTGACTTCTCGGATACCCTTCTTTTCTTTGGTGATCAGTTCCATGTTAACTTTAGAATACACAATAATTCTTACAAGATTGACTTAAGCCTTGTTTAGATGGGTGGATGTTGACACAAACTGGATGTAGCTGCTGATGCCGAGTCATAAGAAGTTGATGATGTACCTGATGATATCTTGATGCTCTCTTGCAGGGTCGGTTCGAGATCATCTCACTGGGTGGATCTTACATAAGGTCTGAAACTGGAGGTAGAACTGGTGGGCTTAGTGTGTGTCTGTCTAGAACCGATGGCCATATTATTGGGGGAGGACTTTGTGGACCTCTAATTGCCGCGGGCAATGTTCAGGTATATGAACCACTATATTTGCAACTAACTAACTGGTCTGTCTGGCTGGCTGGTTCTTTGCTTTTGTGTGTTCGGAAGAATTGTTTTTGGAAACCACAGTTGAGTTTCTTTCTCCGCAGGTGATTGTAGGAACATTCACCCTTGATAACAAGAAAGATGGTGGTGGTACTAGTAGTATGAGACCAATAGATGCTGCTTCTACTGTTGGTAAGTTGCCATCCCCGGTTGGTGGGGGACCATCCTTATCTGGTATGAGCTTCCCTTCCCCAGTTGAATCTACTGGGAGGAATCCAGTCCGTGAGAATGACGACAACCATCAAAACATGGGAGGAGGCGCACCTTTCATGATTCACAACAGGGCGCCGAGTATGCACCACATGGCATTGGATTGGAGGAGTGGCCCGGATCCTAGGGCTGGCGGCACTGGTTATGACTTGACAGGTGCTGATGATGACTCTTCCCTTATGTTGAATTCTTAATAGTTTTGAGTGAGATAGATATAGAGAGATTGGGACTGAGATGTAAAATGTCTATTTTTTGGGGGTTTGGTTTCAGGAAGAACAGGAGGTCTTGGAGGGCACCGGTCGCCTGAAAATGGCGACTATGATCAAGTTCCAGATTAGGTTTTTGAGTAAGTTGTGCTTCTTTTCTGACTGGCACTGCTGCCCTTTCTGCTGTCTTCGTCCTCTTCTTTCTTCATCTTTCTTTTCTCCTTATATAGGTACTCTGACATGCGAAAGCACATGTACAACCTTTTGAATCCTTTGAGGAACCCCCAAATCTACCATCTCTAGAGAAGAAAGTTACAATGCTTTATCTTGAGAAACAAATATTGGCACTTTATTGCTCAATTTTGATCCTCTCATGTTATTCTTAAATGTGTACAGAAGCGTACCCCGGGGCATATGAAACATAGCATACTGTAGCGCACACCTGATGTTTGATGAAATATCAAAGTGGAGTCTTTCTTTCACAGATGTGTCAATACGGTAGAAACTCTGGTCAGAGTAATGCGTCGAACTGGTCAAAGATCTAAGCCGGAGCAGTCAAGCAGCTGGGGCTATTGGCCGTGAAGGCTAGCTGGAGTAGTAGCAACAGCGGCAAGCTATCAAAATTGAACTAAAATGTAATAACCCTAATATGGCGACCACACATAGAGAGGGAAAAAGCGAGCACAAACAAATGAAGCGAGGAGGTTTAGTGTAACACTCGGGTCGGATGAAGGATCGATTCCGGCGATTGATGTGGAGTATTGCTTGAACGGAGAAGGGAATTGCAGGTTTAGAAGAGAAAGGGGAAGGATTAAGAAAGAATAGAGCAGGAGAAGAGAAGCAGAAGGAAGGGAAAGGGGAAGAAGAAGAGTTCTGTAAATTCTGCTATTCGATAATGATTTCAGTACAAAGTTTACCTATTTATATGACTTGCTCAATTACAAAGCAGTCCCTAAACTAATAGGTTTTACAGTTCACTCCTGACCATTACAATCCCGACCTCTTCAGGACAGACTTGTCCTCAAGTCTGAAGAACAATTAAGACCAACAAAGAGAAACTTAAGCTATAACAATTGCATCATGACAAGTTGTTTGGACAAGCTGAAACTAACCAACATATTTCCATATTCCAACAATCCCCAACAACACCACAAATGCTGTCGGATGAAGGGATCTCACTGCTGCAATAGGAAGCATTGTTGTAATCTGCCCTTGTCACATCGTGGAACTCTTGCTGAAAGTGGAAATAGCTGAAAGCCGGTTGGCCCAAGGAAACCAAGTCATTGCTGCTGCTTCGAGGAAGAACTACAGCCACCCACCGAGTGATGTACACTAACGCCATAGTAGGTAGGAAAAATCTTATATCCATGAGTCCAGCTATTATGCCCCAGTTCCCCACTGCACCCTACCAATTCAGAAGTGAAACCATGCCCCACACCGGAGTGGCAGCACTCCCGCCTGACAGCCACAAACTCAACATCCACATCAGCAAGACAAGTAATGAAATCAATGGCTAGCCGATCAAGAACTTGAACCAAAGCAATGGCTGGTGTATCATTTTCAGAACTGATCCTGGAACCCTTAACCGCCAATATCCCAAGAAAAGCATCACCAACCCTCAAATTACTTCCACTACAGCCATTGAAATCCAAAGCTTCTATAGACACCCAACTAAACCTGTCACTGAGAACAGCTTGGCTTGCAAGAATATCCTTATATGGTCCTTTAAAATTGGGACAATCACCCCTGCCCTTAGATACCACGGCATAACAGTAGTTGTCGTCAACCTCAAAATCACATGAGATGTACAGCTTGCGAGGTGATCCAGTAGCAATGAAATCACTTGGTAACCCAGCTCCACCCGGGTCAAACAACTTAATATAGGTGTTTGCAATTCCAAGCAAAGAAGCAGCTTTTTGATCTAGTTTTACATTGTCTGCTGCACTTAAATCTTCACCATCTTCCGCCAATACGAAGGGGAATGGTGGAGCCACCATAGTTCCATTCCGAGCATTTGCAGTAGTAAGTTGTGAGTTCGGAAAAGCAGCTTTATATGCTTCACAAAAATCAGGATCACTACCACTGACATGAGAAATTACCCAAACACCATAATAAGTGGGATAAACCCGATACTCATAATCCCAGCTGCCCTCCCTTAAATTTCCCCTGCAACCCACTGATTCAGGCATGAAACCATACCCCTTATTGGAGTTGCAGCAGTTCACAATGGCAGCCAGAGTGCTAAATTCATCATCACCAGGACAAAAAATGGAATCAATGGTTTGCCCAGCAATAGCCCTAGCATTGGCAGCCACATGAGAAGTTGACAGCATAGTGAAACTGTCATTGATATTCAGCAACTTGAACTCTGGTTTCTGAACCACACCTGTAGCCAATATATAAGCTTTTGCAATCAGTACCTCACCTTCAACATTGGGTTCGTTCTTGTCCAAGTTCGACTTCTTCAGGGTCGATTCTGATTCTATGCTACTAGGGGACACTGCAATTGTTATGACAATTCCCATTGTGTCCAAGACTGCAAAGTATGAAGCTGTGTCCTTGTACTCAGCAGCAGCAACTAGGTTGGCTTTAATCTGCTTCAACTGCGAATGACCCGTTTCCAAGGCCTTCTCAATCAGTAGAACACCTTCATTAGTTGTTGTAGCAGTTGCCAAGCCACCATCCCTGCTTGCTGTAATACCCCCATTATCAACAGCTAAGTCACCCTTCCAAGTATAGTCTTTCGAGGTTGAAACAAGGGCGGGCAAAACATGTCCATCTACACTCACCGTACTCACTTCTGAATATGAACCATTAGTCTCTGCCGCTGCCACACTGCCTAAATTCTCCATATTTACACCTACCAACTCTTGAGCCGACTTGACATTGTCTTGTTCTACATCCGAACCTACGAAATCACCAAGCTGTAATTTGCAGGCCGCAATGGCATCTTCTTCCCATTGAGCTCGATTGTAGGGTTGAGATAATGTTCTAATATAGGGCTGCAACATGGACAGAACTGGTCGTAGCTCTTCCTCTAAACCACTGATAAATCTTGAAATGAAAAACTCCTCGTCCAATTCAGGACTAAATCGAGCCATCAATGATTTCAATTTCGCAAACTGTGTTTGATACTCTGACAGCGACCCTTGCTGCCTAAGCTCGTTAAACTCGTTGACGAAAGAGGGAAACTCCAAAAGCTGAGTAGATTGAGAATTACCTTCCGGTAGGCTGTGAATTCCAGTTGCGGCAGGGAGATGGTTGGAAGACTTACGAATTGGAATGAAGGCAGAAGAAACTACCTCCGGCAAGGGAGTCTTCATCGTAGAAACCTTCTGCTCGTCAATTCGTCGAACAGTTGATGGGCGATTTTCTTGAATCTGAAATGGAACACGCCGATCCCCGCCTAACTCTGCCGGCAGCGGGGGCAATGGATTGCCGGTGAGTCTACAGTCGTCGGTGTTGGCTGGGGAAAGACTCGCCAGATACGCCTGGCAGAAGCGAAGTTGGTCGACGTAAGGCCGGAAAGTAGGCGATTCCCGTTGTTTCCCGTTGAATCTGCTGCTCGATATCATGAATTGCAAGAACGACACCTCCGAAGTTGCTAGACAAGCTCGAAGCTTCGGGTCAGTCGCCGGATTAGCAATGACGGCTAACCGGTCTTCTATCGTCCGCATCGGTGGACCCATGGCTGCCGGAAAATGGCTCTGATACCAAGTTGTAACACTCGGGTCGGATGAAGGATCGATTCCGGCGATTGATGTGGAGTATTGCTTGAACGGAGAAGGGAATTGCAGGTTTAGAAGAGAAAGGGGAAGGATTAAGAAAGAATAGAGCAGGAGAAGAGAAGCAGAAGGAAGGGAAAGGGGAAGAAGAAGAGTTCTGTAAATTCTGTTATTCGATAATGATTTCAGTACAAAGTTTACCTATTTATATGACTTGCTCAATTACAAAGCAGTCCCTAAACTAATAGGTTTTACAGTTCACTCCTGACCATTACATTTAGCAACGTATTCCACCAAACATCGAGCCAAAAAGAAGGAAAAATGCAACGAGCAGATATAACTTCAGATTCTTGATTGTCATACCTTCTTAGCAAGGTGCAAGAGTCGCAAAATGAGGCCGACGCATGCCACAGCTGAATTGCTTCCCCAGAATGGCGACTTACCTTTGTTTTTTTTCCCCCTTGTCAGGGGTGGCAAAACGTAATGGGTCCATAAAAATTACATTAAGCAGCAGCTCTAAGGGTCCTCACAAAATATCCATAGTTTTTTATAGGAGAAATGATAGGAATAAAATAGTTCGAAACCTTTCCTCAAAAACCCCCAAAGTAAATATTTAGTGAAGCCACCTTATAACTCTAAAGAAGAGAGTGCCACTTTATGGGCGCAGTTCGCGGAACCGCCATAAAAACTGTACAAGAAGAAAACGAAACAATTAACTGAAGACACTCTTGAAGCACATGACCGCCTAATGAATCTTCTACTGATTGACGAACCAGTTGACAGATTACTATTTCAGAATCACCTTCAACAATGACATGGGGTAGAATCTTGAAAATCGCTAGCTTCCCTGGCACTAAGCAGCTCAGCAAGATATCCATACTTTACTTACAAGTTACAACTAATCATCAAAATTGGCAAACTATTGAAGAAGTATCTAAATAACAAACAAATATATACAATTGAAAAGTTGCCAAAACAGAACATATATTAGCTCGACTAGTAATCACATTCTTTGCTTCTGAATGAATCCTGATTATCAAATGAATAGAAAATAATATCAACACATAATCAAATTATTTTACTGTTACTTAAACAATAAATTAACATTAATATCACATGTTTCAATATACTTTTTCTCTTTACTTTCCTTAATTAAAATTTTTTTCATTACGCTCCAAATTTTCCTTGCCCACCATTTTCCTTCCTCCTTTCCAAAACAGGGGGATAGTGACCAGAAGATGAGAGAACAAAACTAGGAAAAGGAGGAATATAAATCAACGATGATGTCAGTGACGTTTTTTTTTATAATGGTGATAAATTGCATAAAATAAAAAGAGAAACCAAATACAGAGCAATCAAGCTCGAGTTCAGAAGAGAAAACAACAAAATAAAAAATCGATTCACTAGCAATGAACCTGACAAACGTAAAGGGGAAACAACAAGACAACAGAAACACACCTACTAGCTGGACCCAGCCAACCCTGCAGATGAAAAACAATCAAGCAGCAGAGGGTACAACGAACCCAAACCCAAACAGCCCAGAAAGCAAAAACCCTGCCAACCAAACAAAAGCCAAACAAAGGAACCAAAAAGGAGCCGCCTCCCACCCATCAGTGACAAATCCTCTGCAGACATCCTCGAAGCCATCGGAGTCCATCACTCTTTCCCACCACTCCGAACACCATAGTCCAATCAACGACAGACCTAGCACTGATGCATGCCACATCCTTTGCTTGAAGACGCTCTAGCCGAAACACACGCCGGTTCCTTTCCTTCCACACGTTCCAAGCCACAACATGAAGGAGACAATAATGAAATCATCCTGCCACGTTAGAGGGTTGCGCAGTCGGCCAAATTCTGATGGTTTCCACAATGTCTCCCCTCCGAACATCACCAGAACTGGCGACGGACAGCAGCCTTCCCCAAACCTCCGCAACAAAAGCACACCCAGTAAACATATGATCAATGGTTTCTTCCTCGCATCCACACAGCTCACACCTGTTAGCAAGCTGCCAGCCCCTCCTCTTGAGGTTGTCTAATGTCAGGATCCGTCTATGGAAAACAAGCCACAAAAAACTACAAACTTTAGGTGTGACCACCCCTTTCCAGATCGCATCAGCTGGGAAATTGCTTACTCCCTGCAAACTCCTTTCCGCTAAGCACCTGTAAAGAGAACTAACAGAGAAAGAAGAGTCTGGGTTCGGACCCCAGACTACTCTGCAAGCTCCTTCCCGAATTAGGTCTATAAGGGACGTGAAATCTAATCCCTGGGGAAGAAATCTAATAGACTAATTTTGAACTCTTAACCTTGTGGTAGTTATATGAAAAGTTATATTATCCAGCAATACAAATATTTATGTTAATTTTAACACATCAAATGTATTTCACGTTAAATAATCTCCAAATAAATTGTCCAATTTTATCAAATCCGTAAAAACATAAACCAATTTCAATGAATTTTCATATCTTCTCCTTTAGATAAAAGAAGAAAAAATGGAGCCTTCTCGACTAGGGTCAACTTCTATCTTTTTCAGTCTTGTGATATCCCCTCTAGACTGGTTGCCAATCTTTGCACAATTAATTAAATAATTATTACCATTATGTTAAGAATGATGAGAAATTTATTCGATTAATAAAGTATTGATGAATTAGGTCAGTTGATGATGAAGATAAAAGTGAATTATCATATCCATCCGTCTATTTATTTATGAAACTTGTATTGATTTTATTGGTTGCAACCAAAGCGGTTAAAATCAGGATTTTACGTAAAATCAAAATGGGGTAAAATCAAAATCGTAAAATCGTAAGATTTTAAGGTCCCTATAACAATGAAGACGGAATAATATTAGTAAGGAAAATCATGAATAACACCAAAGCACATAACACTTACAATGATAATTTTTCAAGGTTAATGTTTCAATTTATCAAGGTTAATGTTAAGAGGTGGTGAATCGATGATGATTAATACGTTGATGTGAATTGATTATACTCGATGGTGGTTAGTGTGAGAGAACTATATGATGTTGGTGGAGTAGAAGGAAAAAAGGCGTAATTTTTCAAATTCTGGGGAAAATAAGTAAAATTGACTCAAAGATATGAATCATAAAATCATAAGATTTTTTGGATTTAAAACGTGAATAGTGTAGGATTTTAAGGTCCATAGATTTTATAGTCAAATCAGAATCGGAATAGGCAAGTAACTGGACAGTTCTCTAATGCTACCCAGAGTATTAATCCCCCTCAAATAACCCATCATAAATCCCAAATTGGTCTTAAGAACAATAAACCGACAAACAATCCAAATAATCAAACTGCATAAATGCGGGTTTCTATCATCCCCGCCTCCTTGAGAACAACCTTAACCTCAAGGTTGAGTCCAGATAACTGGTTCTCCTCCTTGGTGTCTGCCACCTCCTCATTTGCTTCGTCCTCCCAGTGTCCCACTAGCATCATCATATCAGGCTTCGCGCACTGGTGACCGAACGTGGTCCTTATACCCAAGGTAGAGAATCCGGAGACCGTTGGGCAACTCAGGCCAATCTCTCTGAATAACGTCAGTCTCAAGGCTATCACTAAGGTTATGGCAAGCCGACTGAAAGGAGTCATGAGCACTCTGGTCTCTCCGCGGCAGAGTATTTTTATTCCTGGTCGTTAGAGAACAGATAACATCATTATTGTCCAGGAATTTCTTCACTCTTTGCGAAAGAAGCGTGGCAAGAAAGGGGGTTTGGTGATGAATATCGACCTTGAGAAGGCGTATGACAGGCTCAGATGGGATTTCCTTAGCTATAGTGAAGCACTAGCCCTCCCGTCTTTTCTTCTCAATCTCTGTAGGAGACAGCCTGACGAAGACCTTTGGTGGAGCTCGGGGTCCGGTTCTAACCATTGCAGCCGGCGAAGTATTGGTCCATGCGGCTCTGGTACATGCCCCCGCCGTCGCACTTCCACCTTCGTCACCCGCCGAGCTGCTGCTCCCTCTTCTACTCGGCCTCTGATAGCGGTCGATGGTGCTTCTCCAGCTCGCGAGCTCCTCCTCCTTATGAACTGCAAGACGGAAAGCAATCTTCACAAAGTCTGGCTCAAACACCCGGACCACAACTACAATCTCTGACTTTTAGGCCAGTCAAGCACAACCCCACCAGTGTTTCTTCCGGCACCCTTTTACACTGATTCCCCAGCTTGAGAAACTCTGACATGTACTCCAACATGGTTCTCGTCTGCCTCAGCTTGCCTAGCTGCTCGGGTGTCCATCCTTCCAATTTGCAAAACTGATACCGAAGTTCCTCCTGAAACCTTGACCACATGATTAGTGTCTCGGCGGCGGCGTAAGATCACTTTAGCCATTCCCACCAAAGCAGAGCATCTCCATCCAAGTAGAAGGACTCCATATGCAACTTCATTTCCTCCCAGGTCGAGTGGTTCTTGAATCACCTGTTAGCTGTATATAACCTCAACCATGCATCCTCTTGCCCATTGAATCTTGGGAACTCAATGGTCGGAGGTTTAGCTCTGAATACTAAATCATCCTCCATATCATTTAACCGACCATATCCACCATACTTGTTATCATTAAACCAACCATATCCACCATACCTGTCACCTCGCGACAATCCCTACTCCCTATACTAGAACCCTGCTCCTTCATCATCGTCTGGATGGCTCGCATACCAGCTTCTCTGATATTGAGATCCGGATGACTCCTCGTAGCTTGCGAAGTCATGAATGGAGGTTGAAAAGTCCATGGCTCTCCGGAGGGCCCCTGCCAGCTCGAGTTGACCCTGCTGTCCCCTCCGACCTGCTGTTGGTGTCCTCGATTTGGTCAAATCCAGTCCGACTAAGGTTGGTCCAACCATTCCAACCAGTTTTATTCGACCTCGAACCCAGCGGCATCATCGGCTTCCCTCTGTTGACCCAACCCCATCGGGCCCATGTTTGGCTCGGCCCACTCTCTTGGTCGGCCCGCCAAGCTTAACTCATCCACTTCTTGGGCTTGGTTCATGCCTAACCACCCTAACCCATTGGGCTCTCTTGTTCGTTCGTCCACTTCTTCCTGAGTCATCGGGCCAACGACCCAAGACTCAAATTTTGGGCCACGTTGTCATAACCCGACATTTTGGTCTTGCCACGTCGTTCTGGAATTTCTTGGATCGTAGGTTTTGGTATCAGCCTCGAACCGCTCTTGGGCCCAGATGGAACGTGGCCTTCACGTCCAGTGGCCTCCTACTCTAGGTCAGCCGCCACTCCCGTCCCGACCGCCTCCTCGTCGTCGTGCGACCAGTTCCAGCGTCGCCACTCCTTCAGCGACCACCGCCGACGCGTCCTTCCCCCGCGTCTCAAACTCAAGACCCATCAGGGACTCAATTCTATGTTGTCATCCTTGATTCACTTCAAAATCCATTGTCAGCTTAGCTAGGGCTTACCGAATTTCCTCCATGTCTTCTCGACGCGTTCTCTCCACGTGCACTCGTTCGCCCATCAGCTCCTTCATAATAATTCTGAGTTCATCATCCATCATTACCTTATTCACCCCCTTGGCTGCCAACGACAATGAGCTTTTGGTCATTGTTGGCTTTGGCGAAACGACCGTTGCCGCCAACACCTCGCCACCATCCCCTTGTCGCGCCGTGGTTGCTCTTTTGGTCATTTTTAGCCGCATTCTGTGACTTAGTTACCGCCATTGATCCTCACTGTGTTCTATGTGTAGAGTCGTGACAGACTCAACTCTAGAATCGGGCTCTGATACCAGATGATAGAAACTTGGAATATGGGTTCTATTTGTCTCTAAGGAATTGGGGAAAATGGGTGGATCACCTATGTAGTGATCTACCTTTTCTCGTGAAAGTGAGAGGAAAAAGGGGAGTTTAGAGAGTGATTGGAAGGGAGGAAGGAGAAGTTGCGGCAGCAGCAGTAGAGAGAGAGAGAAAAAACTCGACAAAGGAAGGGGGAGAGGAAGAGAGATTATAAAAAATAATTAGGGTTTAATCTTGCTTAGTGGACAAATTCCACTTACAAGAATATTTATATAACTGGATAGTTCTCTAATTCTACCCAAAATTATTAATCCCCTCAAATAATCCATGATAAATCTCAAATAGTTCTAAAGAACAATCCAAATAAGCAAACTACCAAAATACGGGTTTCTATCTTATAACAAAAAAAATTGCTTCTCGATGTGCTATCAAGATTGATATTCATAAGACTTTTGATTCTATGGACTAACATTTTGTTTTCTTGGTAATGCATGCTATGAATTTCCCAGAGACCTACATCAACTAGATTAAAACATGCTTGCAAATAACTTATTTCAGTGTTACTTCGTATGGATCATGTTTTGATACTTCCCAGGAAAGAAGGGATTCAAGCAAGGAGATCCTTTATCCCCTTACCTATTTGCCATAGCACTTGAAGTACTCTCAGAATAGTTGGATGCGGCTACTCAGAATGTTTAACTTCCTTTTCACCCTTATTTTCGAAAAATAGGTCCAACACGTCTTTGCTTCGTAGACGACCTATTAATCTTCACTAAAGTGATCTGGACCTACTTTATTGAAAGCGAAGAAAATTCTAGGAAACTTCTATATGGTATCAGGCCTTTGTAGTAACCCGAGCAATTGTAAAGTATTTTTTGGAGGTAAATCAGTGGACTTTAAGAGAAATACATTATCAATATGTGGTTTTAAATAAAGGAGACTGACTGTTCGATATTTAGATCTAACATTGATTTCTAGTAAATTGACAAGTAAAGAGTGTCACACTTTGGTAGATAAAATAGCAAGTTGAATCCGATCATGGAGAGCTGGAAAGTTATCTTATGCTGGTTGGTTTCAACTTTTTCCTTTAGTTTGATTCAATTTTGGATGTCTTTGTTCGTGCTGCCAAAGAAATTAATAGATCAAATTCACAAAGTATGTTCGGATTTTCTGTGGTATGGTGAGGGATCAGGGAAGGCTAAGATTTCTTGGGGAGTGCAAGCTACTCCCAAGAAAGAAGGCGGGTTGTGTCTTCATGACTTGCAAACTTGGAACATTGCTTGTCTTGGGCAGCTTCTCTGGCTGTTGTTCTTACAAGGTGACATTTTTTGGGTGTCCTGGATCTAGTGACATCGATTGAAAAGATGGTCAATATGGAGCCTGTGATTCGGGTCTAATTGTACATTTTTTATCCCCGTTTCTCTTTGGCGTATGTGGCATTTGAGCTCCTAAAAGGGTGGTTTTACGCTAGGTTTCTTGTGTTTCAATGTGTTTCAGAGTCCAACAGGTGAAACCAACACCGGAGTCGAAAGTTGAAAAAAGGCCCAAACACTGGGCAAAGAGGAGGATCCAGCCGCAGTTCACGGTCAGAGCTTGGAGTTCACGGTCTCCAGGACCGTGAAATGGAACCACAAACCGTGAATCGCAGAGTGTCTAGAGGAGTTTCAGAGGTTACTGACGTCAAGGCATTTCACGGTCGTAAGATCGTGAACTAGAGCCATGGACCGTGAACTCCATAAGTGAAGCGGCACGTTTTGATCTGTGTTCAAGGACCCGGCCTAATGTTCACGGCCGTGAACTGGGACCGTGAACTGGGCGCGATCTGTGTATAAATTGAGAGTTGAAAGGAAGGGAGAGCCTAAAAGTGAGAGAAACCTTCTTCTTCTTGAGACCCTAGAGAGAGAAAGCACGAACCAAGAGGGAGAAGAGGCTAGGGTTTGCTCCAAGTAAAGATTTTGGAAGTTCCTCTTCAAGAGAGGATCTCTACAAGCACAAGGGGAGTTGGAGGCATCACAATGATGGTTTCTTTCTTCTTCTTTTGTGTTCTTCCTTTGTCTAGCATGGAGTAGTTTCTCTTTTCACTTGGGTGGTGTAAAACCCTAACTTTTACCATGTAATTGATTGTGTGGATTGAATGATAATGTGATGGTAGTGTTTGATTTAAGAATTAAGGTATTATTTATGGTGACTGTGAATTGTGTGTGCTTGGCAATCTATTGCTCTATTCTAACCTATTTTAGAGAGAAGCCCCCTTATCTTAAGAGACTCAAATTGAGCTGGGTTTTCTTGGCCATTCCATGCCTCCTAACTAGGTTAATGAAGGGCAAACCTCTAAACTTGAATTATACACCTAGGTTAATTGTGATTATGACTTCCAAACCTTGGTTTGAGGGAGAAGGTAATTCAACCCTCCATTGCTTGGGCCAAGAGGGCTACAATTTTAGCCTATAATGCTTTCCTTGGCCTAGCAATTGAGAGGATTGTTTATAACCATTGTTGCACCTCCTACGGGTCACAATAGCCTTGTCACACACTGATTCATTCGATCCCATGGTTCATGGTAGTTAGTTAGGGGGAAGCAACTCCCGAGTGAAGCTTCTCACCAAGAGTTTTCCACCCTTTCACTTTTCAAGTCTTGCTTTTATATAGTAGATTATAGAGATTTTAACAAACAATATTCCTCTAGATAATGTTTTAAACAATTGAAGTAGGGGTACATTGGTCGGCCCGTGTTGATATTTAAACATACTTGCCCTATATTGCACCCATTTAAGGTTTATACTTGGGCCTTAGGTGGGATTTTATTCTGATATTCGAAGTGAGTCAAGTTTTTGGCTCCATTGCCGGGGAGCTTTGGTTCGTTATCTTGAAAATATTGTTTGGTTTTAATCTAGCTTTTATTTTCAATTTTGCTAAGTGTGAATTTTGCTTGTGCTAGACGAGTTTGTTGTTCTTTTAAGTGTGTGCAGGGAGGTGTATGACCCAGAGAAATCTGATGCCTTTAACACCACTAGACGAGAACATCAACCGGACTCTCCGTTTCTTAGCTCGAGAGAGGGTGTTAGCAGAAGAAAGAAGGATAATTGAAGAGAGGGGACAACAAGTTGGTCCCAGATTTGGAGGAATTGAAGTTGAAGTTGAAGTTGAGATGGCAGGGAATCAACATCGAGGTACTAATCCGCTTCACGACCAAAATGAGGAAGCGGGATCCGAGGAAGAACTGAGAACTATGGGCTATTACATGGTCCCACGGGCGGCAGATATCCAATTCCCCATCCTACATCCACCCGTGGCCGCCAACAACTTTGACATCAAGCCTTCTCTCGTCACGATGATTCAAAACAACGCCTTGTTCCACGGGCTTGCCAATGAATCACCGCGAGAGCATGTTCAAAGGTTTCTTGAGCTTGCGAGGAACCTGAGATAAATGGTGTCCTCGAGGAGGCATTGCAACTAAGGCTATTCCGCTACTCTCTTGCGGGGAAGACGCTCTGATGGCTCAACAAGAGACCGGCTCGATCTATCACCTCTTGGGAAGATTTGCTCAACAAGTTTATGACCCAATATTGTCCTCCTCCAAGACGGCCGAGTGGAGGAAGAAGATCACTCACTTTGAGCAAGAGGAAGATGAGACGTTGAGGGAAACATGGGAAAAATTTTCCAACTACTTCCTCCAATGCCCTCACCATGGATTCGAGGAGCAATTTCAGATAGACTTTCTATGGCAGTTTTATTCAAGATGATAAGATTCTCATCGACTCTCTTTGCCAAGGGAATTCGATGAACATGACCCCACCTTAAGTGACCGAGTTGCTCGAAGATATGGCTCTCAAAGGATATGATTGGGGCTTGACAAGGAGTAGTAAGAGAAGCCTCGAAAGTGGAGTGCGAAGTGTGGGAGCAAGTGCTTCACTTGAAGCAAAGCTTGGCAAGTTGATCGAGGTGATACTTGAGGGCAAGAAGCAAGGGAAGTAGCCGTTGGTGCGATACGATTGGGTTGCAATTTCAGGTTATGAGGGAGTCGAGTACAAAATGATGAATGAGAAAACGGCCATTACGATCAGTTGATGGGGAGAAGGCTGATTTGATTCCTCCACCGGAGT